GGGTTTGATTTGCATCTCATGAAAACATGGGCTGTTCTCATGTTCTTGCGATGTAAACACTCACTTTTGAGTTTCGGTTTCCTGTATGAAATGAGAGATTTGGTATTTTCAGTGTTGTGTGTTTGACAGACTGTCCAGTGTTTATTTGTTGCCAAATACCCTCCTATGACTACTTTTCATATATATTTTCCATCTTGAAACTTCATACCCCAGGAATTGACTACTGGGACTTTCATTCTGGCTCAGAACATACCCTTTGTTAATCATATAGATGTTGTATTACTTCTGTTGGCAGTGCAGCATATGCTCCTATTGTAAGTATCAAAGCAATTAGAAAGATGCCATTGGGACACAGAGTTAAGAGCTTGACAGAAAGGCAGTGAAATGAAGGTTTTCACTTCTTACAGAAGATAATTCTGTTCTCAGATGCTTGACCTGATCAAAACAAGGGCATTCATTTTACAAGTGAAAATATTTTCTTCTGCCAGAAACTTCTAATTTTATCCTGTTCAAGGATATTGTCAGGTGGTGATCACAGGTAGACTCTGAAGTACTATTATCTCCCGGTTCAGAGGAGCAGCTCTCACTATGCAGATGAGAGAATTTTATCCTTGTTTATCTGTCTGGACTATTAGTATCTAGACTGTGAGATGAAGAGGAAATACTCATATCTCTTCTCTGAATCAAGTGGACAGGCTCAAGGATTTTATTCAGGCTTAGAAGTGGATATGAGAATGGATCAGCCAGACTTTTGCCAGCCTTCTGTAGCCATCTGGGAGAAGGGAAACTATGTATTTCCAAAAGCTTTTTAAAGGCATAGAAGTATAATATTTCATTATTATATGTTTTCTGTGGATCAAAAATTATTAATTTATTTCCACATAAATGTTGTTATTTTTTGTTGTTAGGTGCTGCCAAGTTGTATAAGGCTCATAGAGACCCTATGAACAAAAGAGCAGAATGTTGTTCTATCCTGTGCCATCCTCATACTTCCTGATACATATTCGTTATTATATACTTTTTTTAATTTTTAAAATTAGTCTTTATTTTTATATTTCTCTATCTGGAACATTTCAGTGCCTTGTAAACTGGAAGGTTTACCCCTCTGAAAAACAGAAATATTAAAGTATAAGGACAGTACGTGTTAAGTACTTAGATCTGGTTCTTTGACCACAGGGGAAGAATAAGGCCTGGGAAAGCTCAGACATGGCCTTTCCTCTTTCCTTCCTCTAAGCTCTGGAGTGTTCTACAATTACATGCTTCTCTGGGTTTGGGTCACTTGATTAAAAGTGGAAGCACTACTTAATTCACAAAACAACCTATTATGACAAATGACTCATGTCAATTTAGTTTGAAAATAAACCATGTATATTGTTTTATTAGTTGGTTAGATTTGATAGTTTAGTAGTTTGTAGATAGAGGAAGTTGAGGAGAAGAGATGATTTCCTACTTCAGAATAATGAGAGACTTGGATTTTTCTCCTGCCTTGGTGTGTGACTGGTTGTGTGATGGTTGACAGTATCCCTGGACATGTGATCGTTGGTTGTGTAAATCATGAGTTGTGTGATTATGGGCTATGTCACTGGTCACATCAGTGTATGTAGTGCAAGTGACTGGGTTTGTGATTGTAGGCAATGTAAACCACTGGTAGTGTGACTGTAAGTAGCTGGTAATGTGTCAGATAACCTGTGTCTCTGCCCTCTTAGTTGTTGGGAGAGTAAGAGTAAAACTATTTCTTTATCTTGAAAATGTTAAAGCTGTGTTGTTCACTTTAAAAGAAAAAGAAAAAAAAACATATGGGACATTTTTAGGAAGTAGATGAGTGTATCCTACAGGAGAGGATTAGAAAAGCCCTTTAAAAATACTTCTCCAATTAAGACATTTTCTAAAATAAAGATTGAAAACCACACTGAAATTGATACCAGATGCATCATAAATGACAGCATTGCAAATTTGGACCACTGGCTCCTTGATTTCTGAGGAGTGAAGTGCCAGAACTTCCCATGAGCCACAGCCTCTCAGCAGCCATGACAGTTTAGTAATTTTCCTGATTAAAGTCTAACAGCCACTGTTCCTAAAGAGGAGGCAAAAACAACAGCCACTCGTCTTGGCAAAGACTTGCCTCTCACAGATACTCTATCTCTCCCCAGAGTCAGTTCGGGGGCCTGGGGAGTGGACTAGTGAGAGTCAGAATCCAGGAGCACAGTGTGGGCCAGCTTCCCCTCATTGTGAGACCTGGCTATCACTCGATAGGCCTGGCAGGGAAGTGTGGAGGAAGCGAGTGCCCTGCTGGTTCAGAATGTTCCAACGTGGTTGGAAACTTTGAGCAGATCTGGGTGAGAAGAACAAGACCTTATTGACAGGGTTCAGTCCTGGGCAGGCCTGTTTCACATCAACTTTCTACATAATCACAGTCTCCCTCCAACATAACTGCCTCCCATCTTTCACCTCTACCTTTAAAATAAACCCCAAAACATTCTAGTCAACTAGAACACAAAACATTTAAACTCTTTATAACAAAAGAATTTTAAAATGTGAAAAGTTCAGTGCTACCTACTTTTAAAATATTGCTATCTCATTCTTTCCAGGGCTTTTCTCCCTAATATAAAATACTAGTAATAATTATTGTTAGTGTTATCAGCGCTGTCTTATAAATAGCTTTTATATTGAGTTATTTTCTCATGCTTTTCTTTATGCAGCCACTGATTGTGCTAACATTTCTGAGATATATAGAGATAGAGATAGATAGATAGATAGATAGATAGATAGATAGATAGATATATAGATAGATAGATATCTTACGCATCATACATATATCAGGTATAGGCTACCTGGTTTGTCATTATGTGATTTTGTTTGCATACACGAAATATAAAAACCCCTCAAATTATGTCTAGCACAAGATTGTGAGGAAAAGGGAATATGCCAGCTTTTTCTCTTCTCTACATGAGTCAATAAACCAGGATATTTCTGTCAAGAAGTCAGAAGAAAATCTGCTAAAGGTTTTAATGAACCACAAAATGTGTCCCTTCCATGCCTTCCCTTGTCACCCAGCAGGAATTTGTACAGCTCTCGCACCTTGATGTCATAAACGCACATTAGGCAGTGCATTATTTTCAGGACCTGTGGGGCAGCTCCAGTTTCAGCTTTGAGAAATGATAAATACTAAGACTTGCTTCACTTTTCCTTTTCCTGGAATATGTAGTGTTGTTGTTGTTATGTGCCGTCGAGTCGTTTCCGACTCATAGCGACCCTATGCACAACAGCCCTAAACCCTGCTCTATCCTGCGCCAACCGCACCGCCTCTGACACACCCATCCTGATTACCCCAGTCACCGAATCAATCCATCTCATAGAGGGTCTTCCCCTCCTGCGTTGTCCCTCAACCCTCCTAAGCATGATGTCCCTCTCCAAGGACCCGTCCCTCCTGGCAACATGTCCAAAGTATGTCAGACGAAGCCCCAGAATCCTTGCCTCCAAGGAGTATCTTGGTTTAATCCTCTCCAAAATAAATCTGTTTGTTTTCCTGGCAGTCCAGGGTACATTCAGTACCCTTCTCCAGCACCACAGCTCAAAAGCATCCACTCTCCTTCTGTCCTCCCTAGTCATTGTCTAACTCTCTGATGCATAACAAGCGATTGCAAATACCATGGCCTGTTTCAGGCGCACCTTAGTCTCCAGAGAGACACTGTTGCTCCTGAGTACTTTAGAGAGGTCCCTAACAGCGGACTTTCCCATCGCGATGCGCTTTTTGATTTCCTGACTGCTGGTGCCAAGAGTGTTGACTGTGGAGCCGAGCAAACGGAAGCTGTGAACAATCTCAGTCTCTTCTTCATCCATCCTGATGCTGCCAATTGGTCCAGTGGAGAGAATCTTTGTCTTCTTGACATTGAGCCTCAGTCCATACTGAAGGCTGCAGTCTAGGTTTGAATCTGTTCTTCATTTCCTTGAGCTTAAGAAATGCTGAGCGAGTTCGGCCCTTTTGATTTTCTGACTCTAGCTCCTCGCACATTTCATTATAGTATTTTGCTTTGTCATTCCGTGCTGCCTTTTGGAATCTTCTGTTCAGATCTTTAGTATCTTGAATTCTTCCTTGTGCTTTGGCTTCTCTACGCTCCAGTGCAATCTTCAGAGTTTCTTCTGACATCCATTTTGGTCTTTTCTTCCTCTTCTGTCTTTGTAATGACCGTTTACACTCTTCCTGAATGATATCTTTGACATCCTCCCACAACTCATCTGGTCTTCGCTCTTTAGTGTTCAAGGCCTCAAACCTGTTCCTGAGATGATTCTGAAATTCAGGTGGTATGAAATCAAAGTCGTATTTTGGCTCCTGTGGATTTGGTTTAATTTTCCTCAGCTTCAGCTTGAACTTGCATATGAGTAATTGGTGGTCTGTTCCACAATCAGCCCCCGGCCTAGTTTTCACAGCTGATATTGAGCTTCAGATCAGATCGGAAGGAATATGTAGTAGGAACTTTTAAAGTGCAAAGGGATAGTTAAGCTTTTCATACTGAAGAACAAAGAAAAAACATCTCAAAATCACCTAATGCTGCTCCTTGTATGTTAGATTTGAATTGTGCTCCATATGGCTAGGTTTCTAGAAACACATTACCAGGGTTTTCTCCTGAGGTGCCCCTGGATAGACTCAAACCTCTAGCCTTGGAGTTGGTCATTTTAACTGTTTGCACCAATCATGGGCACAATATCACACACTAATTAGTTAAGTGACAAAGCTGAAGCCAAGTAGGCCTGACTCATTTACCTCATTAGCTCCTTGAATTTCAATTTCTCCCTCTGGAAAGACAGTAATGAGAGCACTTTACTGATTGCTGTGGCAGAATAATGTAATGATGTCTATGAAGGCCCCCTATGAGCAGTGCTTATCAATATCATGCTATTATCCTAGACCATTCAAATGTTACTCTCAAAGTTTGCAGTCCCTGCTGCTTTGGCATGAGCCATGACCTCTCTAACGCTGTCCCTTTTTTCTCTCTCCCCAGGATGGTTCCTACTTGGCTGAGTTCCTGCTCGAGAAAGGCTATGAGGTGAGTGATTCAGTGAGCAGACCCAGGCCACCAGAATCCAAAATCACACAGACACAGCAGTCTCACGCTTCCTCTGCCGATGTCCGTAGTGTGTGTGTTTCCACTGGATTCGGATAACAAATAAGTCAAGAGAAGAATGTGCCACTTGACTTGTCATCCTGCCAGCTCATTGTGCTGGCTATCTCCTCATGAGCTCTGGTGGCTTCCCTGGGGGTTAACCGCTCTGCATGCTTCCCGCCTTCTCAGATATCGCAGCACCTCTGTGAGTGAGGGCCATTCAGTTATGACCATTCATTGCTTAATGATTTCATGGGCTACTTAAAAACATCCCAATCACTGTCAAGTCCCTTAACACATAAATTGCTCAGAACAATAAAATTCATGGCAAGTTGAAATAAAAAATTTAAACCTGTATGTTTTTTTCTTTCTAATAACCTTTGTAAAACTATCATTCATTTTAATTTTGTTTTGTGATAAACACAGCAGGACATAGTTCAACAGTTTCTTCAAGTATAATTCAGTAACACAGATTCCATTCTTCAGCTTCTTTTCATTTTGAGATTCTTCAACTTCTACAACTATTTTCTCACCCTTTGCTGAGTTTTCCTTTCCTATTAATATAAACTCACTGCTTCCTAAGTTTCCTATTGAATTTACTTTCAAATTGCTATTGTCAGATTGCTCTCATAAAGAGTGTTTTTAAAAGAGCATACAGTTCAAGGCAGATCTTTTTTCTTGTTGTTGTTGTTAGGTGCCCTAGAGACAAGTATGACTCATAGAGACTCATAAACAAAAGAGCTGAACCCTATTCTATCCTGTGCCATCCTCATATTTCCCAGCACACAAAGGTCTTCCTCTCCTTTGTGTTCCTCCACTCTTCCAAGTATCATTTCCCTCCACTTCTTTATTGCCCTTGATAACTGATAAGTAATTTTGGTCTTCACAAACTTGCTTGCTCTTGTCATTTTATGTAAGTGAGGTAATATAATATTTCTTTTTTCCCCTTGAATTTATTTTTTAAATTCCCTACTAGTTTATTTATAAAATTTAAATATATTGTTTTTAAGAACAAATGCTTAAATTTTCCCTCACCCTGCCCCAATCAAATTGTATAATCCCATGATTAATCCCCCCACTTCCCTGCACATCCTCATCCCTTTGCTTCCACCCTGTCCCACACCTCTTGGATCCTTATTCTATAATAATGGTTTTGTACAATATTTATCCTTGTGGGACTGAATTAGTTCACTCAGAATAATGCTACCCAGTTCATCCCAAGTTAGGTGGTGATCTGCATGTTGCATAGTATTCCATTGTGTGAATGTACCATACCTTCTCAATCCATTTGTTTGTGCTTGAACATTTTGGCTGTTTCCATGTTCAAACCAGGCAAAGATATTACCAAGAAAGAAAACTTCAGACCAATATCTCTCATGAATATGGATGCAAAAATCCTTAACAAAATCATAGCCAGTAGAATCCAAAAGCACATCAAAAAAATAATTCACCGTGATCAAGTGGGATTTATAAAAGGTAAATAAGGATGGTTCAACATAAGAAAAACAATCAATGTAATTCACTATATTAACAAAGTACCTATATATATAACAAGAACCTATATAACAAGAACTATATAACAAGAAACACATGATCTTAGCTATTGATGCAGAAAAGGCATTTCACAAAATCCAGCACCCCTACCTGATAAAAACACTCAGCAAAATTGGAATAGAAGGGAATTTCCTCAACATAGTGAAAAATACATGTGTAAAACCAAAAGCCAACATCATTCTCAATGGAGAAAGACTTAAAACATTTTCCTTGTAAACAGCGACAAAACAAGGATGTCCACTGCCACCACTTCTTTTCAATATTGTATTGAATGTGATTGCTAGGGCAATACAACAAGAGAGAAAAATAAAAAGGCATGTTTTTGTTGTTGTTGTTATGTGCTGTCGAGTCGCCTGCGACTCATAGCGACCCTATGTACAACAGATCCCAGATGAGATAGAATGACACAGTAACTGGGTTAGCGAGGTAGGTGTGTCGGAGAGACTGGCTCAGGATAGTGCAGGCTTCAGAGTTGTCCATAGGGTCACTATGAGTCACAGGCAACTTGACAGCATATGTTTGTTTGTTGTTATGTGCCGTCGAGTCGCTTGCGACTCATAGCGACCCTATGTACAACAGCCCTAAACTCCGCTCTGTCCTGTGCCAATCGCACTGTCTCTGACACTCCCATCCCAATTATCCCAGTCACTGAATCAATCCACCTCATAGAGGGCCTTCCTGTCCTGCGCTGTCCCTCTACCCTCCCAAGCATGATGTCCCTCTCCAAAGACCGGTCTCTCCTCACAACATGTCCAAAGTATGTTAGACAGAGCCTCCGAATCCTTGCCTCCAAGGAGCCACCCCGTTTAACCCTTTCCAGGACAAATCTGTTTGTTTTCCTAGCGGTCCATGGTATTCTCAATATTCTTCTCCAGTACCACAGCTCAAAGGCATCAATTCTCCTTCTATCCTCTCTTCTATCCACTCTTACCATTCTCTAACTTCGCCTGTCTGTCCTATTTTATAACAGCAGTTTTGTTTTCTTTAATCTTTTTATGACTAGTTATTTCACTCCGCATAATGTCCTCCAGGCTCCTTCCATGTTGTGTAATGTTTAATGAGTTCTTTGTTTTTCAGTGCTGCATAATAGTCCATTGTGTGAACGTACTGTAGTTTTTCTATCCATTCATTTGTTGATAGGTACTTGTGTTCCTTCTATCTCTTTCTTTGTTGTTGTGAATGAAGCATCAGGGCTCTGATGTTTGTTTTTGGTTGTGTTGTTTTTTTTTTTAATGTATATTCCCAGTAGAGAAACTTTTTGAGAAAACACCAGACTGCCTTGTGTAATCACTGTACCATTTCACATTCCCGCCCAGAGTGAATAAGAATTCCTAACTCTCCACAACCTCACTAGCATTTGTTGTTTGCTGTCCTGTTGAACTTTGCTATTGTTGCTGGGGTGTTTTTTTGATATATTTACTGCTAATATAAAGGGTGTTCATTGTGGATCCAAGTAAAATACAGTTATTGACAACTCTATTCTTTTTTCCTTCTATCAAGATTGTGCTTATTGGCCCAGTGGTTAGAAAAGCTTATTTTCTCGTTGTTAATATATAACCATATTGAAGATTTAAAGTCTTTGATTGTAGGTAGGTAGGTAGATAGGTATGTTGATTTCTGGGTTTTTTTATTCTATTCCGTTGGTCTATATGCCTGTTGATATACCAAAACCACACTGATTTGATTTCTACAGTTGTTTCATTGGTTTTGAGATCAGGGGCTGTGATGCCTCCTATTTTATTTTTTTTTCTCAGTTCTTTACTCTTTTCCAAGTGCAATTGGAAATTATAGCTGTCAGTATGGATTTCATCTCAATGTCAAGAAAAAAAGATTCTTAACCACTGGACCGATAGGCAACATCAGGATGGATGGAAAGGACTCAAACTGTCAGCAGCTTCATCTTGCTTGTATCCACAATTAACACCCTTGGTACCAAAAGTTAGGGAATAAGGAGGTGCATTACACTGGGAAAATCTGCAGTTAGGGACTACTCCAAATTATTGCAGAATAATGGGAATGTCTATCTGTGTTTCATTGACAATTCAAAGGCATTTGACTGTGTGGATCACAACAAACTTTAACTGACTCTGAGAAGAATGGGAATCCTAGAACACTTGATTGTGCTTGTGTGAAACCTATCCTTGGACCCGGAGACAATCGTCAGAACAGAACAAGAAAGCACTGCATAGTTCAAAATTGGAAAGGGTGTGCATCAAGGATGTATCCTATCTGCATATCTTTTCAATCTATATGTGGAACAGATTATCTGGGAAGCTGGGCTCTATGAGGAGAAGTGTGGCATTAGGGTTGAGGTAGACTCATCAACAATCTGTGTTGTGCAGATGACACAACTCTGTGTCCTCAAACTGAGGAGGATCTGAAGCACTTGCTGTAGAAGGTCAAGGACTGAAGCCTTTAATATAGATTGAATCTCAACACCAAGAAAACAAAAATTCTCACCACTGGGCCAGTTGGCAGCATCATGATAGATGATGAAGAGATTGGGTTTGTTGACAGTTTTAGTTTGCTTGGCTCTACGATGAACACTTTTGATACCAGCACCATTAAATTAAAAGACAAATTGCACTGGGAAAGTCTGCTGTTAGAGACCTCTCCAAAGTACTGAAGAGCAGTTGTGTCATTCTAGAGACTAAGGTGTGCTTGATAAATGCCGTGGTCTTTGAATTACTTGCTATGCATTAGAGTGACTAGAGATAATAGAAGGAGAGTTGATGCCTTTGAACTTTAGTGCTGAAGAAAAATATTGAATATACCATGGACTGCTAGGAGAAAAAATAGGTTTGTCCTAGAGAGGGTAAAGCCAGGTTGCTCTTTAAAGTCAAGGATTCTGAAGCTCCATCTGACATCTTTTGGAGATGTTGCAAGGCGGGATCAGTCCTTCGAGAGGGATCTCATGCTTGGGAGGGTCGAGGGGCAGTACAGGAGCAGAAGGCCCTCGATGAGATGGATTGATTCTGTCAATGGTGTAATGGGGATAAGCATGTTGGAGACAATAAAATTGGCAAGGGATAGAGCAAGTTTTAGGTCTGTTGTACATAGTGTCACTATGAGTCTCAGGTGACTCGACGGCAAGTAACAACAATAGCAATGATGTCAGTGTCTGCTTAAGGCCATAGTCTTTCCTATCACTTGGTATGTTATGTCTCAGAGCTAGACAATAAATAAGGATGATAGAAGAATTGAGGCATTTGAGCTGTAGAGTTGGAGAAGGGCCTTAAACATCCCATGGTTGGCCAAGAGAACAAACGGATATGTCTTGGAGAGGGAGCAGCCAGAGTGCTCTTTAGTGTTAAGAGTTATGAGACTTTGCCTCACATACTTTGGGAATGTTGCTAAGAATGGCTATTCTTTGGAGAGGGACATGATAT